AATTCCAGTCCAGAAAAACACTCATCTCAAAAACTGCAAATACAGTAGTCCTTCGTTTATCGTGGGGGTTCGGCTCCCAGCCCCCCTGCAATAAGTGAAAAACAACAAAGTACAGATAGTAGTACATACAAGTTGTAGTAGTAATAGTAGTAGTAAGTAGTAGTTTATTTTAAACCCTTCCCACACTCTTGCAATGTTCCTAACAATTTTCTAAACTATTTAAAAAAATATTAATTTTAAATGGGTACTCACCAGTGAAGATGAGATGGAGATGAAGAATTAGCTGTCAAGTGATGATGATGAAGATGATGAAGATGAAATTAAACCAGGTGTTTTGGCTTCGTCCTTCATAATAAAAGTGTGAGATGGCATCCTTTTCCAGAACAGGCCCTTTTTGTCCATGTTAAAACCTTCAGGCCTGTAGACCCCCTTGGTAATCAGATCTTTGAACGTCGTATTAACAAACTCCTCCGCTCCTGCTGTCAGCAGACGCAGTCTCTCGGTGCAAAAAACACTTTAAACCCAAATAGTTTTTGAAATCTGTTGAACCATCCTTGCTCACACTAAATGCAGTTGGTTCGGTGGTTGAACCCGGTGGTCGAAAGTCCAACTTCGGGTTTGTCCCCCCCCACTCCTCATTTGCATCGGCATGTCTGCCGTGCTGCTGCAAGAAGATCATAAAGTTGTTTCACGTTTGTCCAGATGGTGCTGGTATCCAAAGTGATGTTTTTTTTCTGCAATCATTAATCCACACAACCAACGTAGCCTACATCTTCACAATCGTGCCGTAAAGGCGGCCAGCATTTGCATAGGTACAGCCACCTTTAAGTTTGTCCAGAAGTTCTACTTTTCCTTTATTCATCAGCATCTTCCGCTGGTTTTTTGGTTCACTGCCAGAAATTTTTGAACGCACAGAACATTTAGGAGCCATAAGAATCCCAATTGAAGTCCAGTTGAAAAAGAGCACAGGTAAACAGACTGTAACTGAGTCTATCAGCAGCCAAGCTAGTAAGCATGTTGGTTACAAAGCATCTCTGGCATTTCAGTTCGCTGCCAGAAACTTTTGAACACACAGAACTTTTAGGAGCCATAATACAGTAGTAACACTTGGAAGTCTAGTTGAAAAAGAGCACAGGTAAACAGACGGTAACAGCCAATCAGCGGCCGGGTTAGACAGAGATGATGGTTACTGATTCAATCAACGCTCGTGTTACTAATTTTCCTCTATTTCTTGAAGAGACATGCCTTGACATGATTTACACTTTCTTGTGAATATTGTAAAATTGAATTTTCTTAAAAAAAAAAAAAAAAACGTTTCCATGTGACATGAATTCAATTTTACGTTTGAAAGTCCGGTTCAGCAGTCATGACTTAGCTTTGCAAAAATACTGCTCGGCAGAAAACAGCGACCAGAGGCACTACAGTTACAGCACAGCATTGACTTAAGAGCAATGTAGTCTTTATGAGTGGCGATTACAGTACAGTGGAAGCTGAATGAAAGAAGACTACAAAATGGTGGCGCCTGTCAAAATTATTATTATAATTTTTTTGTCATTAACTTTTTCACAACCACATGAGTACAGTGATATTACAGTACAGTCCACAACTGTGTGTTTTGTACAATTTTTTGGTCCAAAATTATGGACTATACATCCACAAACCATGGTAGTGAGTCGGCAGAAGTCAAACCACAAAGTAGCGAGGAACTACAGTATTCACTTTTCAAATCCCTCAATGATTGGGGACATTGGTGTACTGCTTGTTATTTACATTTTCACCCAACATGAGATCAACAGATGTGTTGGTGTAGTTTCTGTAGTATTGCATATTCTGTGCTGGTCTGGTTCATTGTAGTGAAGAGGGAGCTAAGCTGCAAGGCAAACTTTCTGTTTACCAGTTGGTCTATGTTCCTACCCTCTCCTATAGTCATCAACTCTAGTAGGTAGTGATCAAAAGAACAAGATTGCAGATATAAGTGGTTGAAATTTGTTTTCTCGGGGTAGCTAAACTCTCCCTTAGAGAAAAAGGTGAGACGTTCAGTTAGCCAGGAAAGACTCTCAGTTGAGCATCTGGTAAAGCTTGAGAATGGCAGCCATGGACAAGTAGCCATATGGTCCTTTCTGTGGGGCAACAGAATGGTAAACTCATGTAACCGGGCTTCTTGTTGTTTTCTGTCCATATGAGCATTCTTTGTCTAGCCCATCACCTAGAAACAATGTGCCTTGGGAGACCCTAACAGGGGCAATTGTTCCAGACAGCATAGGATTGTTCAGGTAGACAAACTCTGCTACCACGATAAGGTGCTGGTCTAGGGAGGAGTGCTCAGTAAACATATTTTACTTTTCAGGGATGCATAAGAGTAACACTGACTAAAAGGGAGCCACTTGTTGCCATGGATACCTGAAGTACAAATACCTCTGAAGGTAATCTCAAATCCACACATTAGATAATGCATTTATCTGTCAATAACAAGGCAGAAGAGAAAATGAGATTCTCTGTGTGTTTTATCACTTTCATTATGAAGCTGGTCTATTACAGCAGAACAGGCACATGCATGCTAAGGGATACATGACATTTTAGTTAATACAGAAATATATGTACTAATATGAAATATTTTTTACGTGTACACACATATGCAATTGGACATCAATCAAGAGTATTGTAAATTGGTCACTGCTTCATGGAGCTCTTATAGGAAGAGTTCCTTAATCCCAGCGGGACCAGGACTGTGTGTCCTGGATAATTAACAGCCCACTAACATCCCAGCTCTGAGTTTGGCAGCTACTGTTGTGCAGGCTGCTGGAAGCAAGCTTCCCATTCTGCATTACCATGGTGATGAGTTGTACCGTAGGAAACAGACTGTATGCAGATAACCTTGTTACATTCAGTTATTTGGTCTGGCTTGAGCTGTGTCATTTTCAGTTTTACTGTGACGTTTCCTACTTGTGCTCATGTGGCGGCTATATTTTTCCACACAGGCAGTTGCTAAATGTTGGAAACATTTAAGAAAACTGTTACAGGTAATCCCTGCCTCTCATGCAATGACTGCTGGATATGGACCCCAGTTCTCCTAGTTCTTCCCGTCTGAGGTATTGTTGTCTGTACATGGAACAAGAATATTTATTGGGCCATTTCACATTTGTATAGTAAGAAAAGTGCATGCTTTTAGTTATCCCATTATCATTTGGTGTGTTTTATACAGCTTTTCTGTAAACAGTTATACATTAATGTGGCCACCATCTTACTATTACCTAAAAAAACAGTTCTCCTACACTAGAGGTTACATGCAGTCATAACAATGCATATATTACAATGGACATACAAGGACATACAAATGTATCACTTGTATTTCCTTTCACATGTATATGTAAATATTGGAGAAAATTAGACTGTTTTCTGATAGTATGTAAAAATGTGTGTATGTTAGAATTCCTGCCTGCCTCAGGCTTTCCTCTGTTTTTCCTAATTTCTCCAAGTGGAGTTGTGGGCTGGATGAACTCTGCCCTGCGCTTCTTCTATCAACTCACATCCTGTTTCAGCTATCTCACCTCTTGCCAATATCCTCATCACTTGCAGGTATTTAGGACCAGCTCTGACCATCATCTTAACCATATTGTCACCATGTTCCCCTTTCAGTACTTCATGTTACCTGCTGCTAGGATCTCTTTACTGTACATATTCTCATTGCTGATCGAACCTGTGAAAAAGTATGCTCACCTGCCACTTACCTCCCTGCCCACTCTCCATCATGGCCATAGCATCTCTTACTGGGGCTTCTGGATGTTCGCTCCCCTCCTCTGAGCTGGAAGAAAAACAAAAAAACAAGACTTTATGACTCTACTACATTCTCTATTGATGCGGTGGAAGTGGTCTCCAGTTACAGGTACTTGGGTGTGCACCTGAATAACAACCTCACCTGGGGCAACACTACCAGCCCAATCAAGAAAGCACATCAGAGACTACCTCCTCAGGTGGCTGAGGCGAGCTGGTCTGGGAAGCTCAGTCCTGACCTCTTTCTACAGGTGTGCAGTGGAGAGCATCCTGTGCTCCAGCATCAACATGTGGCATGGAGGCTGCGCAGCTGCAGAAAGAAAAGTTCTGCAGAAAGTGGTGAAGGCTGCACAGAAGACTGTTGGAGTCAGTTTCCCCACCATCACAGACATCTACACCTGGGGACAACAGTTTCATGAAGGACCCCACTCACCCAGCACACACTTTTTGCTCTTTTCCCCTCAGGCAGGAGGTTAAGGAGCATTAAGTGTTGAACCACTAGACTGAGGAACAGCTTCTACCCTGACTCATAAATGCCTAACCAGGAAAATCGCTGTAATGTCACGTTGAGATTTGACACTTTATCCATGCTTCTGATTTCTGACCCATAAGCTGCTATATGCATATACCCATCTGCTTACAAGACTCATGTTCAGGATACTGTTTAATACACTATTATATTATTAGTGTTTAGTCGCTATATCTTAGATCATTTTCGTTTTTTTATAGTTTATATTATTGCTAGTTTTGGGTGTAACTGGGACCTTGAGTACACAATTTCATTTCAAATCATGCACATATGTGAATGACAATATCGCCTTGAAGTGAATAATTAATGGTAGCTGTTTCCAAGGAAAATGAAAGCTCTAATTAAATCAGAACATCATCAAAATATTTATTTGTACACTTATGCAATTATCTTTTTATTTATTTTCCCTGTGAATTTATTCAGTTAAAATGTACAGAATGTGTCACAATAAAGGTGGGAATAATGAAATTATTTATTAGTTTCATGTTTTACAGCACAATTTTTTAAATTTAATTTTAAGTATCATAAAAAGTACATTTACTCACATGAAATTAGTAATTTGGGGCGTTCAAAGTGAGTTTTATGTAAAAACAAGCACTATTTGCTCTTTCTGAGGAGCACGTGCTCCTTCCTCATGGCAGCTCTCTGCCTCAACCTTGTGGTCATATGGCGCGAGCGCAAGTCAAGGAGCGGAGCAGCGCCTCGGTGGGCTCCTCAGCCGAGGCGGGTTACACGTCAGTGGGAAACCTGTACTGGTGCGTGGACGTGTACCGCGCGAGTTCGGCGGTCCCCGGATGCACTGGGCAGAAACATGGACCGAGTGGTGGTGGAAGGGCCGATCAACAACGGTGAGACACGGCTCCAAACGCACCTCAGAAGGCCTTTTAACGTCTCGCGCTGCGCTACGCCTCAGCGGAGCCGTGTGCGCATGCTCCGCCTCCTGTGGTGCGTTCAATGCCACTGCGGGGCTGAGAGCTCTGTGCAGGCTCAGTCTGGCTGCTGTTTGAAGTGTAGCTGCAGGCCGCGAGAAATCAGGCCTGCTGCCATCAGGCCCCTCCACTCGGATTGAGGACTCATAGTTAAATAAATAAATACACAGGGTTAGACAGGATAATGATACGTATTTTTAAAGATTCTCCTATAACTTTGTTCAGTTTGGTACTACTTTGAAGTTGGAAGCTAAAATGTGTGATTCTTGTTTTAATTAAAACAATTTAATATATTTTTATTGGGTTTTAGTCGAAAATATGTAACACATTAATAACAAATTCAACCTAATAACGATGTTTTTTCAGACACGAGGAAAATTTTTAACCAGTTCCTCTGTTTTAAAGATGGGCATTTTTAAAAATTTATTTATTAATTTACTACTTTATAAATCTTTATGGTGTGGTGTCTAACTTCAGGGTTTTCCATTTCATGCCCTTCAACAACGCCCCGAAAGCGTCAGGTTCGTTTCTCAGCTCGCCATGACATCATCCTCCTGCGAGAAGTCATTGCTCAGAACCCATTTGGCTCCAAAGAGCCAGGTTTGTTTTATATTCTTAACAAAACTTTAAACTACCGGAAACACTGATACGTGTTGAAGCTGCTGCTCTAGTGATTCTTACGGACAACATCTGGTCTCATCTGTCTTCTGTCAGGACGGATATGGGCCCGTGTAGGGGAAATCATCACTGCAGCCCTGCAGGAGGAGAACTTTGAGGTGGATGCCAGGAGGTGCAGGGAGAGGACCATGCTGCTGCTGGACTATTACAAGAAACAGGACTTTCCCAGCCTGCGCAGGTTGGTTCTGTTTGTTAGAATGTGCAGTCCCACACTGGATGTGCCACACAGCATGGTGTGTGTTTTATCCTAACTCAGGTTTGGAACAGAGAGGTTGTATGCCCAAAAGGAGGATCTGCTCCATGAGGTTCTGGAGCTGGAGGCTGAGAAGGGGCTGCTGGCCAGCGGTGAGGGGACAAAATATCAGGTGAGAGTAAACAATGCTGTATCTGCAGGTTTTTAGGATTAAAACAGGCTTTTGTTCCCAACAAAAAGGCTAAAGCATATTAATTCTAGTGTTATCTCCTGATCCTACTGATATCAGCCAAAAACTAAAATCCAAACTTAAATTTTACTCAGTATAATCTAAAAGTAAAGTTTTGTTAATGTCTGCATTTTAGTTAATAAACAAATCTAATATTTCACCACTTTTTTTTAATATCTTAAACAAATATGTTGATGTGACTCAAACTCTGGTCTCCCACATGAAAGCACATTGTAATTTCCTTTAGACAGTCCTCAAATAGTGGGGTGCGCCCCCCCTGGGGGGGCCCGGGGCAATGCCAGGGGGGACGCATGTGACCCTAGAAAACATGTTTTTTTTGCCGCAGGGAGTAGGTTTTTTTTTCACCATTCTCACTTTGTCGCGTGCATTCCTAATAAGTTATGAGCAAATATGGCTGCCTTGTCATTTTGGGAGCCATGCATGACCCGTGTCTCTCCCCTCTGCGGCTGACGCGATAAATAAACTCAACTGTCACCTCCTCAGTCCTCTGCTGCTGTTTTTATGTCCACGCGCTCTGGACGTCACTCACAGCGCGCATGCAACAAAGAGTAAACTCAAGCGAGAGCGACACCTGCCCCCTCTTTCATAGTTGTCGCAACCATTATATGTGAAGGGGACAAGTCCCCCCACATTAAAAAAAATTTCGTTTGGAACCCCACTTTTACTATGAAACATTAGCTCAGGCGGCGCAGTTTCTCTTTCT